TAGCTAAGCTTCTGTGCAGTTTGGAGAACCCCCAAATCCCACTCCTGGCTGGCCCCGCCCCACCACCCCGCTGCTCCACCCCTCCCAGAAGTTCCCATGCAGCCCGTTTTGGAGGCAGGTAAGTAAGCATAACTTTTAACAATAAGTTTCTTTTATTGTCCTGTCTTTTTTCAATTAAAATCTTTGAAAGGAAATTAGCAATGAAAGGCTTTTTTAAAAAGGCATAGTAAAATTGTTTTTAATATGTTCCTTTAATATTGCATTTTTAAAAATAGTCCTAGATATTTTTAAAAAATCTTATTTTTATATATATTTTTTCTAAATCAGGTACTTTTGTTGCAAACATGCTTTTATTTATATCTATCAGCAACAGTGAGAACATTTGTGAACTTATTTGCAAGTATTAGGTAAGTAGCTGTTGAGAGATATTCAAAACTTTTAAAAGTTGTAAAATCTTGGGACAAAAATAATATAAAAAGGCACTATGAATTATATATATAATTTTAAAATATTTTTTTTTAAAGAAGAACCAAAAAATCTACTTGTCCATATAAAGTCACAATGGAAACTTCCAAAATTCAAGTAATAAATCAATGAGTGAACTGAAAAACTTACTACAGGCCCTAGTTTTAAAGGTAAACACCTTTCTGTCTCAACTGGGGCACCCCATGTCTAATTCCTAAACAGTTAAATAAGCAATGTCACTAAGGAGAAAAAGGTATTCTTCTGCAACATATCTAACATTTACATTGCTCATTAAACAGATTTTGTTTAAATAATGAACAAACTGCATTAAATTCCAATGAGAATTGTAGAATTATAAGTCAACTGATAAAGCTCAGAGGAGATGGAAGAAATGGGAGGGAGAAGAGAGTATATTGACTAACATAAAGGGCGCAGCTTGAGAAAGGATATTCCTGCCACACCTGATCAAACATAATCCACAATGGGGAGAGTGAAAAAAGAATTAGAGAAGCGAGACAAGGCTGTTGGAAATTTGCATCCAGAACAGATTAAAAAAAATTCAATAGGGACTGAGGAAATACAGAATATATATTACTATAAATGCAAAAGCTGACTCAAATGTCAAGATTACTGCCTGAATAAATCTGAATATGAAAGTCATTGGTTCCATAACTTAATGAAGAAATGCTCAAGAAGAATTTAGGCAAGAGCTGAAAAATGCCCTAAAACATGAAAGTAGAAGTGTTCACTACTGAAACTCATCTATACAACTCAGCAAAACAAAATTAATGTCTTCAGAGTAATCTTAAAGTGATGTTCAATCACAGCTAAATAATAATATTAAATGTCACAGAAGAATTTTGTACCTCAATAATGAGGTACAAAAAGGTAATTTGATTCCACAGTAAGGATTTTGGAATCTGTTCCTTTAAGCATGCTGATGTTGCACTGCCTCTCCTATTATCCCAATGAAATGTTCAAGTAACTATTATAGTGTTCTGTACATTAAACATGAAGATTTTCTGTATTATCTTTGCATAAAGCAAAATGTTACCTAAACTTGTATGAAAGATGTTACAGTTTTTTTCATTTTTCAGTCATTTGGTAGTTTATGTACACACAAAATCAGAACCCTTCATTCTTTTTACTTTGTAATCTCATCTATGCATACATCTAAAATGCTTCATTAAATAATATCGTAATATCCCATAAAGCTACGAGATTGAACTGAAAAAAAGGTTGGCAAAACCAGCTCACCCTTCATTGCAGGCATGACTCCGTAGTCTGGAATTCCATTCACAACCTCCCCCTCTAACCTGAAATCAGAGGCAGCCCAGGGAAGGCAGGAGGCTGACCTCAAATGTCTGAGTGAAGCTGGTCTTTATGCTTCATTGTCTTGTGACTGTTAGGTAAGCGAATACCAGGTAATCCTGGTTCCCCTCCAAGCAAGAATAGAACAGGGAATACCTTCCATTGCCTGACCACTGCTCTTGGCTGTGCTGCTTAAAAAATGGAGCAGCTCAAGATGCTGTTCATTGCTGGAGAATGGAAAAGCTGCATTGTGAATGGAAGAAATGTGCAGGGAAACCGATGAAGTTTGTGGGACTAAAAAAAGAGTTCAATCAGACCTTCCAATTCACAATATATCCTTTTTTTTTTTTTGCATTGGAAGATCTAATTTAACTTTTTTTTTTAGTCCCACAAACTTTTTGGTTTCCCTTCACATTTCTTCCATTTGCAGCTTTTCCATTTCTCCAGCAAAAGAAGAGCATCTTGAGCTGCTGGGACAAATGCAACAGAGCTGGAAAGCAAGTTTGTCTAGGAGCTAGCTTCTGCAGATTTTCAGAAAGCCAAGGTTTATCTTATGGGAAAGCTTTTTAATCTGTCTCAAAGTGGGGACAAAGCTACTCTGGCTAATATAATTTGTCATGGGCTCTAAAGCAGTTTCCCAGAGAAAAGACCCTGATTAAATGCTTGCTGTGAGGATTTTGATTCAATTGATTAATTGTTCCATTGAGCCATCAAGGGTTTCGGGCATAACAATGACCCCTGCTTCTCAGGAAGGATGGTTCAGTTTTTTATGGTTTTTTTTTCCTCCTGGGCCTCAGGGAAGCCTCCTGGGTGAAGCAGTAAGAAAGTGAGGGGGATCCCGGCACAGCTGATTGTTGGGAGGAAAAAAAAATACTGGTTCAGCTGAACCGGTAGCTGTTTTTTTACTACCGGTTTGGCCAAACAGTAGCATTTTTTACTACCAATTCGCCCAAACCAGGCCAGACCAGTAGTATCCCACCATTGATTCTATGACTTTTTTTCCAATCAGATGGGGACGGTTCTCACACACTCTGGTCTACTCACAGAAAATAGCGTACAAAGTAAAAAAACAAATCAGTTAGGCACTTGCATATGTGGACAGATTTCTAATGGAACTTTGAATGCCACATATGGCAACAGAGAAAAAGAATGTATGTTAGTGAATTCAAGCCTAATACATAACTGATAATTAGATAAAACATAGAACCAGTACTGAACAAACATATATAAAGAAGGAAATGGTACAGTACTGTTTCCTTAAATATGCAAATACTAAAGTAAGTGAATGAAAACCTAAGTATGAAGATTCTTCAGATCTTCCTGCATTTAGCATAAAATTTTAAAGACAATTTATAAATCCATTTACACAGTACAAGCAGCTCACAATATAACTCTTAATTATACTTCAACAGAACCTATAAATTCAAATGAACCTCTGAATAAGACAATATCAGACCAAGGAGTTCGAAATCCAACTCTCAATCTCTTAAGATTAAAGTCTAAATGCCACACAACGTGGAGCTATAATTTATTCTAAACATACAATATGACACATGCAGGACAAAGTGCTCAGATCTTCAGCTTTGTGGGGAAGAAGTTAGAGTTAGAGAAGATGGCAGCTGAATTTATTTTACACTAGAAAATCTGTGACCTCTTGAGTCATCATTTCAGAGTTATTTCTTATCAGATTCTTCAATACCTTCAAATAATGGCAGAGCTTCTAATGTAGTTGAAAAAGTTTTAAAATTTCAGGAAGATACTCAGAAATGTATCTGCCTTGAAGATAGTATCCATGTTCAAATGTATAGCAGAGTCAAAGGCTCAATCAGGAGTTGATCATAGGAAATGTTTCATGACCTTTTGTATTATGTTATAAAATGTTTTATGATAATTTTTATGAAATTGAAATTATTTGTTTTGAAATTAAAATTATTAAATTTCAATTTCAAAGGAGTCATGGGTCCCAGATTTTGGGTGCATTCTGTAAGTTAAGCCATTTGAGGCAGTTCGATTCCAAAAGTTTGAACCTGCTCTATGATGCAATGTTTCACCCAATTAAAGGTTATAGATACAAGAGTTTTAGTATGATATACTTTTAAATTAAATGTATATTAAATTTGTATATTGCAAAGCAAAGCACAGCCTCAAGCATAAGTTTTATTTTCAAGAATGGCTTTGGATGTCACAAAGATAACTCAAAATATTCTTATAAAACAAAACAGCAGATTATCACACTGCTTAATATAGAAGAATGACTATCTGGTCCAATAGAAATCGAAAATGAAACAACAAAGAGCATCCACCTAAACAACATTGTGATGCCTTCAATAAGGATCCATAATGAGAAATAAATGCTTTTATGTTCTAATATAATATAGAAATGAATCAAGATGCTGAAAAAATACAAATAAATGCAGGCAATTTAAAAATGAGCAGTTAGAAATTATAAAAAGTTTTCACCACAGCCAATTTTAGGTGTAAATAATGCCAAAGAAAAAGTGTTTGTGAAATAATTTTTAGCTGTTAAAAGATTGCTATCTAATGAATAACTGGCTAAAGTTGTTTAGAATATGTTATGTGTTAAGAAAAAAAATACATCAAAGGGTATCTAACACAACTGAAGAATACTATCAGAAACATGAATACTGATCAGAAGACATTACAAAAGTAAGAAACAGGTTATATCAAACAAGACCACTTGAAATTTCTATATGCTTAGAATGCCTCTTAGAAGGGAATCATGTTGTAAATTCTATAGAAAAATAAATAAGCCTAGTATAACACTGCAATATCATTGCATGCAAATATTACAAGATAAAATAAATTCAGAAATTATAGCTAAAATATGTTAAAAATGATAGACTCAGACATTATTTAAAATTCAAAGAAGCTGAAAACAGTGAAGATACTCAAAATGAGGAAATTTGAGTAAAAATTAACACACATTTCTTGTTGGGAGAAAACAACAAATAATCAAAAATGTAAAACTAGAAGATTGGAAGAAAAGTTTTTTTTAATCTAATTATAAATTAAAAATAGCCATCTTACATATTGATAATAAAACATGAAAATCTAATAAAACAATTGTGAATAACCTTTTTTTCCTCAAAATCTGCTTTTTCACAAGATGAGATGAGATATTCTTAAATTAGGGTCATTTTCCCTGATTATCTACATGCACATATATCTTACTTCATAGTATTATTTTTAATTTTAAGACTTACCAGTTACATTGTTCAAAACTTCTTTCAAAACACTGAAGCTGTGCAATAAGGGATCACGCTCTTCATCCTAAACATATGAATATATTGTTATACATTTAAAGCTGGATCCTCAGAAGAGAGAATGAAGATTTTAATCTCTTCAATGGTACTCTATACAAAGGTATGATTATAAAACCATTTTTTCTGAATATTAGCAATTTACAGTTCTTATTTCTGAAGGTTTTTTTGTAGGAGAGGACAGTAAATGATATACCGTATATACTCGAGTATAAGCCGAGTTTTTCAGCACATTTTTTGTGCTGAAAAAAAAAAACCCTCGGCTTATACTCGAGTGAGATTCCCCTCTGGGAAAAAAAATGGTGTGGAGCTCCGGAGCTGGGCAGCCGCTTCCCTGCTTCCGTGTTTCCTTTGCAACTTGTAAGCATGGGGGTAATCGGAAGCAGAAAGGTTCTTGCATGAGGATATATTGTTTTTTCTTTTTTTAACTGTTTTTAGGGGGGGAAAGACCTACCGTCATGTGAGAATGCTCAGACACGAAATCTATCCGCCTGAAAATAAGTGTGTGTGTGTG